ATGAATGGAAAAGTATGGGTTAGTACGAAGGAGACAAAACATACGATTACTATCGTGCGGTGTATTGAGGCAGTCGATCCAGACGGCGGCGGGATGGATGAAACTAATGTGAAGGAGTTCCTTAGCAAATTGGATATATAATCGCTGTACATTTTCTCAGTTTTGAGAGATACCTGTTGCGCGCACAGGTAACGACACTTAAAGAACTAAAAAGACAACGATGATGCATACATATACCACAGTTTCTCTCAACTCAATCATCATCTGCTATCCTCGCGCGTTTCATTGGACGCCTTCCTGTACCGACGCTCTGCGAGTCTTCGTCGCTGACAGTACCCGCGCTTCGTCGCATAGCGCGTTTGCGTCGCTGATATTCTCTGTCACGGTGCTTTTTCTGCTGCGCAGCAGTTAACTCTTGCGTGCGCGGAGCCGGAGGTACGACAACAGTGGTCAACCCCGGTGTTGTTTGAAGCCTCATGTCATCAGGTGCAGGTGTCGAATCTTCACCTTCTCCGAGAAGATCCAAGGACTGAGGAAGAAAAGGGGAATACTCCAATGAGATATTTATCCATATCTTGAATTTCTTGGACATACCTTCTGCCATGTTCCACTACTTGTTGAGAACCACCGGTCACCATCCCCAATATCGTGCTTTCTACGCGCCGCAGCACCCTGAGTGGGTTTAAGATATCCGTCGAATCCATGGATGATATTACCCGTAGTGGAGGTTTCAGCGAGATAAGACGTTTCTAGCGTATGTATTAGGACTTCAGTTTGTGCCTGTATATTGCATAGAGCAGTTTGAACAATTCAAGTTAACAAAGAGGGTCGACGTACAAGTTGTCTGTCCGCGGCCCTTTTCTTCTGAATCATCTTCACAAGTTCATCTTTCACCTTTTCATATCGTGCCCTCTCCTCCGCGGTGGGAGGATCTTTGCTTGCCATAGCAAGGATCCAATGGACTTAGAGATCAAGTGCCATCCACACGGTCAATAGCCCTCGACTAAGTGGATGTTACAGAATCCTCATTTGGCAATTGCAAAGGCTTTAGAATTTAACAAGGACAAATATTGAACACTGACTCATGGCAATGATCATTAATCATCAGGAAACCCACTGCCGAGCCAAGTGACTTGTAGCAGCGCGTAGCGCCGCGCTTCTTTTGAAGCGACTGTAGCAGCCTGTAACAACCAGTAGTAGCTGGAAGCACTAAAAGCTCCATACTGGCTCCGGGACTTTCGAACATGCCACAATATGTTAAGCGATCATGATTAAAAATTTATCATAGTAATCTTTGTGATACGATAAGATGATGATCACTGCTCGTCATTCAATGATAGCTTTGCTAGGCAGGAATCTTGAAATTGAGGGAAACTAGCAATAATACAGGCTCGAGAAACTACTGGTAACTAAGAATAGCATGGAAGGTCTCTTTATCTGCAAAGTTATTCACATAAAACTCGCGCGCCAGCTGCAAACTATTGTCGCAATTCATTGCTGCTGATACCTCTCGACCGAACTTGGGAATTAGCTGGATGACCTGACGCACACTTTCCAGAGGTACTATGTCTCCTAAAGCGGTGTTGTTCGAGCGAATACGACGATGAACTAAGTACATGTCAGTCACAGGCGCGGGAGTAACAAGACGAAGGCCGTTGAAGGCATCGACTGATGAATGAGAGAAATTGAAGAATTCGACATAAAGGAAAGGCTGGTTCAGACGGGGGGCTTCAGTAATAGGTTGGAGGATAGATTTGACTTGGACAACAATATAACCTATCATTTTGTGAGAATCTAAGTTACAAGCGAAAGGATTACACATACGTTCAGACGCTGCTGGGGATAGCAGTTCACCGCTTTCGTGAGCAATAAGGACGGTATTTCCTCTTCCAAATGGCATCGAAGAGTTAGGCGGCAGCGCCTGAATGGTTTGAGCAGGGCCAACAACACGGTTATCTTGCACGGAGCGCCGCTGCATGCGGAAATTTTGCCAAACGCGAAGGCGATCAAAGGAAAGGGAACAGTTAGGGCGACAAACTCGTTTTCCACTGCGCTCGAGGTAAGATCTACCAGAGATCAGATCACCCAGTGCTGGATGGAGATCAGGAATGTGAAAAAGTTGAGAGGCTTCTTCGATAGATAGTTGAGGATAGTGTGGACGGCAAGTAAGCAGGATTGCGACAGAGTCGTCAGAAGAAATACGAGAGCGATCTTTGATGAACAGTGAAGCAATTGGTTTGCCAGCACCGACATACTGCTCATCAGGCAGAACAGTAGAGATCCAGGTTGCTTCGGGATAGTGGAGGGTCATGGCATGTGCTTCCCTGGACATTTCGTATATTAAACTTGCCTGCTGCGACTTCAGAACTGTGTAGAGCTGGAAGAATTGGAGTTTTTCCTGTCGATCAAGGAAGCGGCAGCACTGACCATGAAAATCCTTACGGTTAGTCATGCGGTAAGGCCGTTTCACATGGGTGATATGACAGCGCTCGGTGATGTCGCTGCTCCATTGATATGGGGCACCCATGGCGCGAGTACTCCGGGCGACATGCTGCATTAACTCCAGCTTCGGGATCTGAAAATGATTGAGAGGACCATTTTTGCCACGACGACCACCGGCTGCGATGATGGAGGCCTTGTAGTGGTGAAATTCACGCAAGGCCTCAGTCAAGGAGTGTAACGTTTCTTCATAGAGGAAGAGATTCTGAGCCTGAAATATGAATTCTGTGATGGCACGTAGTGCGCATGCAACGTCATTGGGGACAGCGCCGACAATCACAGCAGGAAGGAGCTTTTTGAGGTCTCGATGTTCTCGACCAGTCAGCTGCTTCAGCGTGGAAACACCGTTTGCCCAGTGGCGCACTCCTACACGAGGTTGAAGAACCGACAGTCGACGATCAAGTTGCGCTCCCCCCATCATGTTGACGGCCCAGGTAATGGGGTGGTCGAAGAAAAATTTATGCCATTGGTGAAGGGCATCCGGCGTCAAAAAGCGGGAGGGGCATGCGTCGCCCCAATCCATCCAGTATGGCTCAACTACGCCATTTAGATGCAATGACTGACATGTCTTATAGAACGATGCGATATCGCAGGGGTCAGAAATAGTGCAGGCCCTTTCGATAGCATCAAGGGTGTGGATGCGAGTTCGAGGAGAATGTGGAAGAGGGTCCCCAAATTGTGCAGAGACAGCGAGGGAGATTGGTGAGTGCTTTGAGGCAGTACATGAAATGAGGAGTTGCTCAGGGTAGTCAGCTATCCAGGCAACCAAAGGGGTATGAATCATACGTAGATCCCCTCTTGGGTCTGACATGACGCAGCCATCACGAGCGGCAATCTTCAAATTACGCGTGATGATTGAGATCGCAAAGTGATAGACTCGCGCGGATAAAATTGCGTGAACGGGCTTCGAGACTCCCAGAAACTTGGGTATTGGAAGGTAAGCGGTCAAAGCGAACGCATGTGATGTCGCCTTCATGCGAACACCCGCATGGATATTGGCAAGCGAGATCAACAGGGGATGCATCTCCTTGTTTCCGGTCCCGATCGTTAGAGGTGTTTTGTCTGAAGCACCAATCACACCAACGAACGAATGGCCCGGAGGAAGCTTATCCTGACAACTCGATGTTAATACAGAGAGCACTCGACATCAGTGGCTGCAGCCCACCTGTATCTCCCAAGCATGATCAGCGCTCATGAATTCTCCATAAACTCGCTGACTATCTGGACCTTCGAATTCTTGGTATGGCCAGAAATCCATGCAAGGCGCAAAGACCGGATTGGCGACTAGATGCTTGACAACATCCAGACCATCCCTCCAATATAGCATCAGCGGCGCATTCGTCTTATGGGAACCGACCTTGATCTCTTGGTGATACCATCGAGGGACCTCAGGTAGTGCTTCGATCCGAGCTCGCAGATCCTTGGATGTATGGAAAGAGGGTGGAATATTCTTCGTCTATATCTGTTATTAGTATACTGGTACATCAAATGTCGATAGACAACTTACATGTTCAAGGTGAATAAAGGCATCGATTTCCTTTTGCGATAGCGCCCCACCCGAAAGCCAGCATGCCAGGTCAAATTCAGATTTAGATGCAAATGGATAGTGTAAATTTTCTGAGTGACGGATGGTAGCGTGTTCATCATCATCCATTCGTTGAAGATGGTTTTGCCCTCCAGGTTTGGCAATTGGGATATTGGGGTGGTACTCCCTGATTGTGCCAGGACGTGGACCTGCAGAAGGATCAACAGATACGAGGGGGGCGTCACATGCTGAGTCGACTGTAGTGTAACCGACATGTGGTAATATAGGTTCCTCGACATCGTCCAAAGGATCAAAGCCTTCATACCCTCCATAGACTGGGTGCATACTGAGGTTTGGTCCTAGATTGAGTGAGAAATACGTACCATCTTGTTCAGTTTCTGGGTCATCAGGATAGTCTTGTGAGAAATGACTATGTACCCCAAAGTCCAGAGCAACACCTTGGACGACCCTTTGACCACAGATAATAGAAGTTGACAGATGATAAATAACATCATCGTTGTTTGCAAACATATCTGCGCAATTAGGACAGATAAGTCCATGCGTATCATTAGTTGAATGGGGTAGATCAAAAGGAGAGAGCGACATGCTGGTGAATAATTCAAGGGGATTTCTGCCAACACCCTAGAGTTGAGGGATGCCCTTATAAATATAAATCTTGATTGCCCAAGCTCTGTCGAAATTGACTGTCGACTCACAATTGTCACGGCATAGTCGCGTCAATGATTGCTTCAGTGCGGATATGGTGAATTATGAAAGTTCTTTGTGGCCAAAGGAGCACCTGTAGCAGAATCAGTGACATGTAAATCAAATTGAGTTGCTGTGAAGAACCGTATCATTGCGGAGCATCGCTGGACTTTGCAAAGTTCTGGCAAACTCATCCGTGTGAGTTTTCTATTTGTTGATTCAAGAGAAAGGCATCCGCTATCAACGAGTTTGCATGCTTTTCAGGAATTTCATGCCTTGGACGAGCAGTACTCGCAGTTCATTTGGATCAGGAAGCACTAATAGTAGGTCCTTCAAGAGGTTTGTTTGTTATTAGGAGCCGGGTGCCCATTCACTGAATACTATGCACTCAGTGTTTCGTCACCTCCCACGTCCGAAGGACCCGATAGTTCTCCCATTTTAAAGAGTGGCTCTTCCAGCTTGAGAGCTAGGTCTGTTTTTATTAGAAATTGTCTTGCTTGAGTGTCCAATTTACTAACTACACACTCCAGTGTTTCGCTGTCTGAGCCTCCCGCGTTTGAGGCACTGAATAGCTCTTCCAGCTCAAGAGTTGGTTCCCAAGAAACCTCGAAAACACATATTCGGTATGTTTATCCAACAAGAGCTGTTTGTGTAAGTCCATTGACATACTATGATGTCCAGTGTTTCACAGCCTGCCACATCTGAGGTGCCTAATAACTCTATCACTTTGAAGAGCTATACCTCTTCATGCTTGAGGACCGGTTCTCAGGTAACCCCAGTCAAGCCCAGGTGTGTTTGATACGAGCTATGTTGTGTAAGTGGTTGTTCACTGAAGATACTTCTCAGAGGATCTACTACTGGATCATTGCCTCCCATATTCGAGGTGCCTACTAGCTCCCCCATATTGGTACCAAGTAGCTCCCCCATACCAAGTAGCTCCCCCATACCACGTAGCTCCCCCATCCTAAGGGGTAGCTCTCCCAAGGCTTCACCCCTCTTGACCACTATGGTCAATGAGGGTAGTCCCACAGTAGCTACCAGATCCGGTTCTCACAAGAGGTCACACCGGTATAGCTTACTGTCAGATGATGGACTCGATGACTGCGAAGATCTTCCCACGAAGAAATCAAAGCCATTACTTACAACAGTACGTGTCCCTCACCTGAATGCACTTCAAAACTAATAACTCATATATCTTAGTACACTTATGATCGGTCCTCTGAGGCTGAAATTTATTTCAATCAGCGCATGCTGGAGCTCTCTCGTATTAGCCGCCGGGCTTTCGCCGCCAAGATGGAATACCAGCGCCTACGCACTGAAGAACTAGAACTAATGACATCCCTCTTAAAGGATGAAATGGAGGAGTCCCAGGGGCATCTCATTAAGACTGATTTACAGATAGGCTCACTCCGGAATGACCTCCACGACGCAGGAGTGGCAGTGATAGGGAGCAAAGGGAGAAAAGACGCCAGGGAGATCGGAAATAGGCTGTTCCCGGGTTGCGGAGATCACGAGGCTGATGACAGCAGTGACTACCATTCTTCTGTCTCTTCTGAATGCAATGGCGGTGAAGGTACAACAATTCAGATGGTGAGTCTGAACAATGTTGGGTCTTGCAGAACCTAGCTGCTATTCGACCCTAAAGGGTTTCTGGACTAGGCTTAAGGCTCAGAGGAGAGGAAATATCATAGAAACTTGCTCAGCACTCAGACTCATACTGGTAACTGGTGAAAAGATTGATTGCTTATGTAAGCTACAAAGTGCCAACATAAGGTAAGGTAAAAACAGTCTCTACCAGCCCAGCCAGAAATGAATCCCTACAGCGGTGTCGATGAGAATTGGGGTGCACCTGACGATTCACAATTACTAACGAGCAGCTCCAAGCCCTGAGTCCGATTATTCCTATCTGACTGTTTATAGAGCACATACGTACATATGTAGTCTTTTGTAGTGTCACCAGTAATGAGGCTGGCGGCACGATTATGCAAATATGAATCCATTTCCTGTATCTTCTGATGCGGCTTGATCCTAGTACTATCTCGACAAATCGCCCCGAAATCATGATTCTATCAGCCCAGAACAAGCGTAAGCCTACTCAAAATTCACAGAGAACCCTCATCTCAGCATGCCTCATGTCGATCAATAGAGTGCCAGCGGGCCTTCAAGCTCGTTTTGAACTTGAACTGTTGTGAACTGCTCGTTCGTTTACCGCACAAACCCGACGAACCATATACCATTGGTGCTTTATTTAAAGGCAAGTTTCTTGCTTATCGAACAATTCAACTAATAAGCATCCTCCCTAACGCTCCACACACTATGCCTCGTGCTAGCAGCCAGGGTGGCCGTGGCCGTGGCCGTGGTACGACTCCTGGCGCACAACCTACCGTTGATGAATACGGAGTATCCATCACCCCATTCCAACCGACACCCTTCCAAACCAGCGAAAACGACTCAAGAATTGCAACGGAACGTCGGATCACTGCCAATACTATGATACATGTATGTATGCATCATTTTGATGTGTTCTCGATAGTACTTACAACTCAATTCAACTTCAAGACCGAAGGCCCTCCGATCGACACGTTGCAACAACACCAGTCTCGCCGTCGCATAGGCCAACTTCCAGCGCAAGAACGGCTTAGGCCGTACGCCATTCCATCCACACGCACCCCCAGCCAACACACGTCGTCTCGGGCTTCAATGAGTACCATCTCGTTGGATGATCTCAACGACGATGGTACCCATTCGCAACGTTCACAACGTGCGAAACGTGGCTCAAAACAGAGCGCAAAGGTAAAACCCTCCAATATCGCGTTCTACGACGAGAACGACAAAAAGAACATCTACCATGCACGAAAACTCATCATGCTCGATATGATACTCGAGACCGGTTGGGAGGCTGATCGAAATATACTTGTGGCTATCGCTGAAGAATGCCTCTCTTCAGCATGCGCAAGGAACACGCACCGTACGTAAATTCTTTTCGTTATTTATCTACTCATTTGCATTTAGTCACTGAACCTACCGCCGGTGTCATTAAACTGGTATTGGACGAGCTATCGACTGTGCGGGGAAAACTGGTTCAGGATGCCGAGGGTTACCTCTCGGCTCTCGGCCTCCAGCATGACACTAGTACTATGTCCGAAGAAGATCAAACGGCACGCATAGTAGCGCGTGCGAACCTCATCTTGGACGAGCAGAACCTCCAGGATTACTTCCTTCACGGTTGGGATGCTGACCGCGAGAAAATTCTCGTGTTTTCGGCCCCAGCCTATCTCAAATTTCATGAGGCTTTCTGGTTCGGACGAAGCTCGCCTTTCCTCAACGATTCAATGTCGAGGGCACGGATATCAAAACCATCGTGGTTCATGTATGAACTTACGGGCGCTGCAGTGAGTCTTTTCATTAAAGACTCCCCAAATACTGATACACTCGACACAAGCTATATTGTATTATTCGCCGTGCTGCTACTGGCCAGCTTTCTAAAAGCCAGAATACCCTACATTTTACTACGCAAGAGTTCCAACCGGTCGCATTGGGAATCCGGAACGCGATCAAACGATACCTGGACCAACCTGAGCTCGATGACAGTGAGTTCTTGCCCCGCATGACGGCTCACCATGAACAGTGCTTGTAAGTGTGTCTGAGACGCAAAAAATGATATATTGACGCTATATTTGCAGAAAGACTCTCAGATCTCGCACAGGTGAAGCATCACCTACCAAAAAATACAACATATACGTTCCCTCCTCCTCGTCGGAACTATATCGATCGAGGACGAGTACCTCCGCATCAACGCTATCGTCCGACTCCCTACCATCTTCGCTTCCAAACCCACTCACGTCGTCCTCGTCTTCGACGTCGTCTAATGTGTCGTGGTACCCCGGTGTAGAAACAACAATACAATGGGGAACAAGGATGCTCCTAACTGTATCTATAAAATGTTGTGAGGTCGCGCGTTACCTAGTCTGCTATTCTTGAGGAGACAAGTGCGTTCGACCCTAGGGGAAGCGAGTGCTGCGAAGATCTAGAGGTACGCGCTTCAGCGAAGCGTGAGAAAGCGCAAGTGCGCGCAAGGTACGAAGGCGCGGGAACGCGCGCGCGTATTAGCGCGAAGCGCGGGAAAGCGCGCGCGCGTAAGCGGAAATAAAAGAGACTAAGCTTAAGTGATGATATAAAGCAATATAAGAAAAGATAGATGCAAAGTGTAGACCAATAGACTTCTACTATGTACTGCTAAGTAAATAGTGGGTGATAACTAGTAAGTTCAAGGGAAAAGTAGGTCTGTAATAGTATGTACTGCTGGCGCTTATATAGCGCGCCTAAGCGCGGTCATGCGGAGCCGAAGCGCTACCGAGTAGGTATGTAAGGATATATATGAGTGAGAAACTATGATAAAAATAAAGGTGGAGCTATGCTAATAAAGGAAATGGAAATATACGTACTAGGAAGCTTGGTGGACAGTGGATGGATGCATCTGAATGGCTGGCGCTATAGGGCGCGCAAGCGCAGGAACGCGCGCGCGCGTATACATCGCGAAGCGCGGGAATGGTGCGCGCATGGCGCGCGTTGCGTGGGAAAGCTGCGCGTCATATAGAGATAGCTGTGGGTAGCGCACAGAATGACGCTGCGAGTTTGTGCTGTATACTTCCTAGTGAAACCTGCCATATCACACCATGAGACACACGAGTCTCTACACCGGGCCTCGTCAAATTGTAGATTCCCCTCGGGTAACGCAGTATACGCCATGCGTTCCCGATAGCATTCCGCAAGGGCCCTTCTTTTATGGCCATGAAGCGCCTTTGGGCTCCCAGCCTCCACAATATTACATTCCGCCGGTGTTACGGCCCTATAGAGAACCCGAGGCATCATTAGATGTGCCACAGCACGATGGTGACGATTATTTTGGGTCGCTGGCAGGAAGTTCGAGTTCACTGGCAGGCTGGGGGGGTAACCATGAGGGTAGTAGTCGGAGGGGGCCCTTGTCATGATACTGGTGCTCCATATTTCTGTACATCATGTAGGTTAGTAGTAGCTTCAATGGATCTCCGATAGGTGCGGTATTCAAGTGACAATGGTCAGAAGTTTGACAGCAGATGTTCGAACGTTGACCGATCGATATCAAAACTTAAAGATTAGATGAGATAGCCTGAGTACTCAGGCTATCTCATCTAATCTTTAAGTTTTGACTGATCAACTGACTGCATTTTGGAAGCGAAGATGTGGCGAAACCGAACTGTCCCGTGAATTCGATTAACCGACGTTTAAAATACATGTTAACTTCAAATAGCTTAGTACCATTGCTACAGCCTACTACAGCTTATTACAGTTTGATTCCGTAGTAGTTGACTGCTACAGTACCGGGGTGTTGCTACCGTGCTTCCCCTAGCTACTAAGAGCTTCATAGCTCACGATTTCTCCCTGATGATGTTGATGATGCGCTCGCCGCTCAACGCACAGCTGTATGATTTATTGTATCGACTGACCTCCCTCGCATCGATAGGGTAAATATTTTACAATCGCAGAGTTTGTGGATAACTGCTGAATGCATACTACTTAGACTATGTCATTCGATGGGAGGGTTAAACTTGGTCAAACTATTCTTGTCGATTTCAGCGCTCAGCAACTGTTTATCAATATTGATATATATGGGCTTGCTCGAACAAACTAAACTGATTCATTGCTGAACAGTCACCTAGTTTCTGACCAGTGACCACAGCACAGGCTACCGCGCTAGCCGCGGTTAGCGTGTGCTCCGATTTCCTTTTTGGGGAGGAGTTACGCGTCGGCGACGAGTATCTCAGTTCAGCACTGTATCATCGATTTCTACCACCCGCTTCTCAATTCACATGTCCTCAGTTCCCTCCTCTGAACCTCCATCTGACCCTCCTACAGGTGACAATGTGCAGAAGCCAGATGCACCACAGCAACCAGAAGCTTCACCTTCTCCAGCTCAGGATGGCGTTGAAATGGACATAACGCCAGATCAACCCGCAGAAGAGACTTGGGATGACATTCCAGAGGAGATAAAGGCTTTGACAACAGAGGAGATTTTGACAAGAATACGGCTAATTGATAATGACATCAAGGTGCGTCGTTTGCATCTTGCAATAGGTTTACCAGAGTTCAACTCAAGAGTGCTTTGTCCTAATGATGCAGGTCATGAAGTCGGACACCCTACGATTACAACATGAGCAAAACGTAATGAAGGAGAAGATACGTGACAACGGGGAGAAAATTAAGCAAAATAAAGTCTTGCCGTATCTTGTTGGAAATGTAGTAGAGGTACGCACAACCAGGTTATATCGTCATGTCCCGTCGTTCATCTGCCATAGATTTTGGACGTTGATCCTGAATCAGAGGAGGATGGGGCAAACCGCGACTTGGACTCAATGCGCAAGGGCAAATGTGCTGTTGTGAAGACATCCACTCGACAAACTGTTTTCCTCCCTCTTATAGGTCTCGTACCTGCCGACCAGTTGAGACCTTCCGACCTTGTCGGTGTTAACAAAGACTCTTATCTGATCCTCGACAAGCTTCCGACTGAATATGATTCACGCGTCAAAGCAATGGAGGTTGATGAACGTCCAACAGAAACCTACACTGATATTGGTGGCTTGGAGAAGCAAATTGAAGAGCTGGTCGAAGCCATCGTTCTGCCGATGGAGCAGGCAGACAAGTTCAAGACCTTGGGAATAAAACCACCGAAAGGTTGTTTGATGTACGGGCCACCAGGTACGTGTGTATCTGATTCACATGCGCACCATCGCTTATATCTTCGATAGGCACTGGGAAAACTCTTCTTGCCCGTGCATGTGCAGCGCAAACAAAGGCTTGCTATCTCAAGCTTGCCGGTCCCTCACTTGTCCAGATGTTCATCGGTGACGGTGCTAAGCTTGTTCGCGACGCGTTTGAACTTGCCAAAGAGAAAGCACCTGCAATTATCTTCATTGATGAATTGGACGCTATTGGAACAAAGCGTTTCGACTCAGAAAAGAGTGGTGATCGTGAAGTGCAGCGAACGATGTTAGAATTGTTGAACCAGCTTGATGGTTTCTCGAGCGACCAGCGAATCAAGGTGATACTATTCACTATCGACTTGAGCTGTCTTTACTCAGTTCGCCTTGTACAGGTCATCGCGGCGACAAATCGGATTGACATCCTTGACCCAGCCCTTCTCCGTTCAGGTCGTTTGGATCGTAAAATTGAGTTTCCACTACCAAACGAGACGGCTCGCGCCCGTATCCTAGAAATTCACTCACGGAAGATGACTGTCAGCCCAGATGTGAACTTTGAAGAGTTAGCGCGTAGCACAGACGAGTTTAATGGTGCTCAGTTGAAGGCGACTTGTGTGGAGGCCGGTATGATCGCCCTGCGCGAGGGTGCTACCAAGCTTGGGCACGAACATTTCCTAAGTGGGATTGCTGAGGGTGAGTAGCTTACTTTCGACGACTATATCCTATAATTTTCTAACTGTGTCGTGCAGTACAAAGCAAGAAGAAGAACAATTTGATGTACTTCGCATAGGTCGCATTATCGATTCATTCTGTTGTGATAGACTCGATTATCGCATGCAGATTTTCACCCATGCCACTATCATTATTTCCATTGCCAGCTTTGTGCCATACTGAGGGGGTGCGAGTGTACCTCCTGTAATACTGTTGCTCTCGCCAGTTGCTTGACTGGGTGGCTGCTAACATGATGTTACTTGTTCCTGGACTCATTGATCTCGATATCGTGTCACACAGACGAAAATCCTTTCTCGGTTTCCCATAAATAATCATCGTGCGATCGTGCAGCTCTACCAAAAATCCTTAACGCTGCCAACCCAACTGTCTCAACTTATGATGGTACACTTTATGGACACACCTTTGCAGGAGCCTGACTACTAGCAACACGACTGGGCGCAAGGGGCTGTTACGGGTCTTGCAACTGGCGGAAAGAGCGATCACTCGATCAAACGGATTCTCTGATATTCCCGCTACCGTTAGGGAGTGCACGTGGGTCCTATAGCTCGCTATTTTCACGTTTTGGCGGTAGATTTCTCGATTTCGTCGTCCCTTTCTTTCTCGCCTCAGATGGCAACGTTGTGCGTGGTCTTGATTGTGATGTTTTGATTGTGATGAATTGGATTGCTGCGTGGCGTGCTGTTGGTCGGGAAGACGAGCATCCTGTGCACCATCCTTATTCTCGTGCCACATCTGGACTGCAAGGTGACAGTACTTAATGGTTGAATTTTCTGGTATCTTTCTGATGTTTCGTATTTCTAGCAACTTCGTGTATTGCAAGCCATTTGCCAGAATCTCCTGTCAGTGGCCACGTGAATTTATCTCAGTCTTCGTCCCTTGCAGGGGCAATTTTATCGTCTTGTAGACGTTCAAAATCTATTGTGCATGTCATATTCTTTGAATCGTGTCGTTTGGGGGTCCGTTTTGGTCCTTTGTCGTCCGAAGTTGCGTTACTCGATCGGGCATGTGCTTCGCACTTAGGGGGTCTTATTCCCTACTTGAGTTGCGAAAATCGTTGTTGCAACATCTACTCCATGGTGAATGCGTCGTTTCGGACACGCGTTCAAAGCATCATGATTACATTGCATGTCGTGAGGTTGCTGCAGGGTTGTGAGGTTGGAGTTTGGCAGTCAAATTAGTCGCGTGCGTCAGATGTGATGGCAGGAGTCCAACTAGGCAAAAGGGCAACGGAGGAAGACAAA